CAGACCATGAAACAATTAGAAAAGAGAAATAAATGTTTTGGTTAAATCCTCCCATGAACAGTCATCAAGTATACTGTCTTTTTAATGCTGAGTTTGGAGAGGTAGATAAAATATACCTTATAAAATATTCATGTATGGGAACCGCAGTTAGCGTAATGGCTATGTCGCTGGACTCCCACATAGTTGACCGAGGTTCGAGTCCCGGACCTGGTGGCTTAAACTCACTCCGGGCGCGTGTGTGTGCGTGCCCAAGATCCCAAGAAGAGAATGGAGGAGAAGGGACTGTGGCGTGGCCATCCCCCCTGGGGGGTGATTTCCTGCTTTCTGTTTCTCTGTCTCTGTCTGTCTGGCAAGTGCACGTGCCCTATAGCAAAAACCTCTCTAAAAAAAAAAAAAAAGAAAGAAAAAAAACACTATTCGTATGGCCTTGCTGAAATAAAAAGAATCTCAGCGGATCTAGATATCACTAGAATGGAAGCTCAAGTGGACGTTTCCAAGTAGAGCTGGTACCTTACCTGGGACTACAGCAAAACCAAGTGTTGTAAGGACAGGAATACTACCTCGTTCATCTTCTATCCCTAGTGTCTAGGATAGGGCTGGGTACAAGGAGCCATTTATTACTTGTTGGTTGCATGGGTGACCAAAAAAATAGGAAGTTATTGAGGATGAAATGCCACCGCATCTGGATAAAATCTATAAATGGCAGAGACATAAGACTGCTGTCCATTCATGACAACAACCGAGGCAGCAAAAGAACCTCGAGTCAGATTATCTCTGCACTGTTTCAGGACAGTTAAGGATTAGAAATACCCCCCAAATAAACATCCCTCCCTAATCTCCCATTCTCTCCACCCCCGTCGATGTATATAAAAGGAAAGTTATTCCAGGCTAGGGGACAGTCACTCACAGAGGAGGGAAATAGGTTAGATAAACAAAAACTCCCCTGAAAAAAACTCCCAGGCTTGGTAGATTTCTTAGAAATCTCTTTCCGTGATCACAGGTCCCTGTTTCTTCAGAAGACAGTTAAAGAAAGGATGTTTCACTTTATTATTAAACAAAATTCACTTTTGATTTAAAAATAGAAAGTTGAGTGGAATTTTCTACACACGCAGACACACAAGCCAAGTCTGCCTGTTGCTTACCATCCCAATTGCTACTGCCTTTATCCATGGTTTTCTTACCCTGCCATTCATTTCCTTGTTCTACTTTCTACCCGTGTTTGCTTCCCCCTCTGTCTCTCTGTATAATCATCTCTCCATTTTTCTTTACTATTTCATGTCTGTTATTAATAATGTTGGGAGAACAGTGTAATACCATATTTGACCTGCTTTCAAAATGTATTTTATTGTACAGAAAAGGCATATATTGGGGTCCTAGGAGAACATTTACAGATATGAAAGTCAGTTTTGGTCTTGAGAGGTCTCACTCCTGAGCTGGTTGGAACATCCATAATGTTTTAGTAGCACTTAAAAAGCAGTTTTGTCAGTTTGGCCCTCTGTTGTTTATACAAAGTTTATAATCAAAGCCCAAATTCCTCTGTTTTCAGGATACAAAATGATATATCATTTTGTAAATGATTCATTTTTTTGTATTTTTGTATTGTTTTATTTTAAAAGAGGGTATTTTAGATATACTTAATAATATGTGGGAAATTATCATTTAAATATTAATATTTCAGGTTTTCATGTAAAACAATAACACTGGTCTCACTGTAGATTATGGACCAGGGTCCGCATTGGTACCTTAGATTATCTGGATAAAATCTATAAATGGGAATTCTTTTTTTTTTCTTCTTTAATTTTGCTAGAGTGCACTCATGAAAGTGAGAGAGGAAAAGAGAGAGAGGGAGAGATAGGGAAATCACCCCCAAACCAGGGGGTCACACTGTAATCTCTTGTCCTCCAGTTTTCTACCCTGCAGGGGCCTTGGGGTACGCATGTTCATGAGCCCGGCATGCATTTCAAGCCACTGCCAGGTTCAGGATTTGAATCATGTGGACAGCCACGTGGGATCTGACTCCCTTAACCATCAAGCTGTATGCCAGCTCTGTATGGATAGTCTTGATTTAATGAAGAGTTTGCCTTTGCATGCATGAGTCCATATCACATGTAGAAGCCTCTAGATTCTGTGAGTTGCAGTAAGGCTTTGATCATGGCCCCCTTCTCTGTCCTAGCTCCAGTCTCCCTCAATTTCAACTCCCCTGAAGGAATTGTATGAATCATTGCTGTTATTTTCACACCAAGATAGAACTCCAGTTCTTAAAAGATATAAAAATTCTAAGGACATCCCAGAAGTACTTCATTTGCCAAGCAGTATATCTGAGAAGATCTGTAGGTTTTCAAACTAGATACAATCCACTACAGAAAGCAAAATGAAGAAACAAACATCCTGATGTTCTACTAAAAGACATTTGAATGAAATAACTACAGATAGTTTTTAAAAATTATATTCCTAATTATAATATGGTTTTTGGAATAATAAAGACCTTGGACTATAATTATACAGGGAATCTCTGGCTTATTTGCATCAGGCAAAAGTAGGTCCTGAGATGACCCACACATGCTCTATACTCAGAGAAACTGACTGGATTCCCTTATTAGTCCTTCGTGTGGTGCTGGGAACCATCTTCATTATGCAGCTGCTGCTGGCCCTTCAAAGGTGGGGGTGCAGGCTGGCCCAGATGGCGGGCAGAATAAGGAAGAATGGGCAGTTTTATGCTCAACTCTGAGTTAAGATCTCTTAGAATCCTCTTCTCCACTCCAGCCCCAGCCCCAGCCTCTCCCAATTCTAATTCCCCTGGGGCAATTCTGAGGGTCATTTCTGTTGCTTTCACACTGAGATGGATAGCTACTCCCCAGACCATCTAATGACCATACGTTCTCCGACTGACTTTTTCCCCCTCCTCTAGCTTATATGAGAAAGAAGGAAAAGGGATATGGGAGGGAGATGTTTCATTTCTACTCTTTACCCTTAGTTTTAAATATTAAAAACAAAAACACAGTCAAGAGCTCTGTGGAAGAAAGGATCTGAGATCATGTTTGCTCACCAGGTAAAAACAAAACAAAACCCTAGATTGGAAGGACCACATGAGAGCCGGAAAAAAAAGCTGTAGGCAGATCAAATCTTAGCATCAAGGAAAACAAGAAAGGATGGAGGCATGGGGTCAGTGGTCCCCCGGAACAGGTCTCAGCATCTGTCTTCCTATTCCTCACTTGACATTTTTGACTCCACACCATACTTCACACTCCTACTTCATAAGCCTTGCCCTGTTTACATTCCAGTCACAGATTCACCATGCGTGATGGCTTCTTTACCTCCGGCAGGTAGAGAATGTGAAGACATTTTCTACCATACAGCTGTCTGGGCGTTTGGGTTAGCATGTGCTTTTTACATCTTTCTTGAATCCCAAAGACGTAAAGACATTCCTGAACATGGATGGTGATTGGTCTACTACGGTAACGTAGAGGTACCCGTGAAGGATGGCATGAGTTCTAAACGATCACGGGCCCTCTTGGAGACCTAGCCACAAAGGCACTGCTGCCTCTAGCCACAAAGGCACTGCTGCCTCCATAGGAAAATTACTTGAGTTCCAAACCAAGTGTCAAAAAAAAAAAAAAATCCAAAAAACTTTGAACAAACATACATTTTAAAAATTAGGCACTTTAAAAAATTAGGTCACAGATTAAGGAAGGCTAAATTTCTCTTCTATATGAAGAAACATATATCATATTTAGGTCATGGTATTTAAGGAATGTTCTAAAATGTTCAGAATGTTACAGTGAGATGTGGGAGTGAGGTGATCTAAGATGAAATAAACTGCCCACATCTGAGGCTGTTTCTCAATGGTGACCTCTATAGACAGGAAAATAGAACCTAAGAAAATTAAAAAAAAAAAAAATTTAAAGTCAGTTGATGTAACATAATATTAAGACCTACTTTGTTGTATAGATTAAAAACATTTCTCCCAATGTATCCATTTTTGCTTATGGTTATTTTTGACATAAGAAAATCATAAATCTTTTAAAGAACATGAACTGGCAACTTGGGAATGAAAAAGTAAATTAAATACATTAGCATATATGTAAATTATATCCAAGAAAAAAATTAAATTAAGGCGACAATAAAATCTCAAAGAATAAGTCAGCTTAAATACAGCAACTAAAAGAAAAATTTTAAAACATTTATTCATACAGTGTGGATTTTTTTTTTTCAATATGGTATTTTGCTCACAGTAATTGAAGATTCAGGTCAAGAAAAAAAAATCACAGAAACGAAATCCTGTTGGATTTCACTTGAAGTCTCCCATCCTGGCTAATGCTCTGCTTTTATATCCACTACTATAATGCTAGACTTAGAATCCTGGACACATTTTGGCCACAGTATCCTTTTAAACAGTGGAGCAGAATGTATAATTCAGCCTATTAAAAATTGGCTTTTAAGACCCTGAAGGCAGAAGAAAAACCAAATGCTAAAATTCGGGAAAGAGGCAGTAAGATAAATGTTATGTGCTGGACCTGGAAGCGTGCCTGTGTATTGTAATCATCTTGCAAGTTGCCAAATTGGAGGATCACACTGCAATTTGACAAATTTTCCAGTAAAATTATTTTTTTCTTTTTAGTTCTTTGCTTCAGTGTGCGTGCATGCATGTATATCGGCCAGTGTGTTTCTCAGAGAAAAAAGGGGTTACCAAAATGATTCAATTGTGCGTAAAATTAGAGTGCAGAGGAACAATCAGAGTTCTGGAGCAGGATTTCAGTTGGCTTTTCTGTGGCACCATCCAGACTGGTGACCTTTCTGAGCCTCGGTTTCTCACTCTGCATGTATTACATTGGCATTGCCACAGTGGGATGGGGTGGTTAAGCCGGGTTACCGTCTGTCCTTTCCAATAACTCCACAAGAAGTGTCAAAGTATCCTGGTGTAATAAGTGGCAAAGTGGAAATCCCAAGAGGAAAATGCATAGAGAGCACTCACACATTTTCTTTCTTGTCTTTGTTATTAGATGTACCCATCCAAGCTCAGTGCTTAGGCTCCTGCTCTCAGCATCACCACCGACTTTCGGAGATGGTCCTTATATGGTAATTGCTTAGACTAATTATTTTCATCTTGGTTTATTGCCTTCCCCCTCACTGTGCCAGAACTATGAGAACAGGGACTGTTGCTTTCATTGTTGTCTCAGAACCTTGCACGTACATGGACATGACACATGATGGGTTCATGCTGTTCTTTTGTTGACAAAATATGAAGATACGCTGTCATTGAATAAATAATGAGCTTTTTTTTAAGGACTGGCATCTCAGGATAGACCCTGCTTCTAACATTTGCACTCAGTTATCTGCCTTATGAAAACAGAGCTCTGAAAGGGAACCATGGCAACTATAAATAGTTTTTCATGTACAAATTAGCATTCTATACTGTAAGATTTAATAAAACAAAAACCTAGGTACAATTAGATATCTTAATCCCCTCTTCTCTGGGGAAATGCCCATTCAGCTCTCTTGTTCATTTTATAAAAATGTGGTAAAATAGACATAGCATTTTAAAATGATTAGAATTTAAATTTAGAATGATTAAAATGTTAAATTTTAAGTGTACACTGTGATGGCATTAATGACATTTATATTGTTGTGGAGTTATACCACTCTCTCCCCAGAATTTGTCATTCCAAACTGAAACTCTGGACCCATTAAGTAATAGCTCCCAATTCTCCTTTCTGCCCATCCTTAATCTCTTCTTTCCTTCATTCTTCTTTCCTTTCCTTCTTCCTAGCTTTTCTTTTATCGTTCTCATGTTTGGCTTCAAGGTAAGATCCCTGGGGCATTGTGTCTGTGTGCCCAAACCATCGTTAAAACCCTCAGCTCACTTCCTAATTCAGCTCTATGGGTTTACTTGCAGCCATGAAGCCTCTGTTCTCTTCACAGTTGCTTCCTCAGGTTGCCCAAAACATTCATTCTCAACTAGTTGTGCTTGATTTACCCGAGGTTGATAAAGGTGATAAAGGTGAGGTGCTATGGAGACAGTGGAGTAAAACAGTATCTCTCTTTTTTTAAAAAAATATTACTTAAGAGATTAAAAAGCAAAAGTCTGGATGAGAGGCCTTTTCAACCAGCATTTTCCTCCAGATTACCACTCTGGGAAGGGGCAGTGGTGCCCCTTTCTCCCTCTGCTCTTCAGCTCTTGTTTGTTGGAAGTTTTTTTTTTTTTTTTTCCCAGAAGAAATCTCATATTTTTAAAAAAATAATTATTTATTTAATTTTATTTATTCATTTATTTTAATTTGACCACACACACACACACACACACACACACACAGGGAAAGTGAGAAAGCAGGCCACCAGGTCCATGGTCCGCCATGTGGGAATGTCCAGCACCTTAATCACCATGCTGGTCCCCATTGGACTGAGTTTGAATTCCCTTGCTGATCTCATTAACCAACTGTATTTCAGACCAGATCTTATTCTGTTGTGGGTCTTTGCAAAGTTTTTGCTTTGATGGTTAAACTTTTCTTTGATGGTTAAAACTTTTTAAAGTCAATAGTTAAACTCAGAAGTGAGATTTTAAACAGAGAGTCATATAAAGAGATTCATCCCAATTCTACATTGACTAAAGATCTCAACATAATTCAAATATAGTGGCGTCATCAGAGAACTGAATTTATGGGTAGATGAACTGAGGTTGAAACCTGGTCAGCCACTTACTACTTGCTGGATTGTTAAGCAAGTTATTCACTAAAATTTGCTCTCCTCTGGAAAATGGATGAGACACAGAGTTATCTTAAATATGAAATGAAATAAGGTATATAAAGTATGTGATATAGAATAGTAGTTTGATAAATGTTGGTTCCCTTCCTTTAGGCTTTATTTAGAATTTATAATCTTAAATAAAATGTGGGTTCAATTCTATTTAAAAAGAAGTTCAAACAGTACTATTATGTATTTAAATATTATATCATTTCTTCTTTTTTATTTTAAAAATTTGCTGCAGGGTTCTTGGGCTTACTGAGGAGAGAGCTAGAGGGAGAGAGCGA